AGCATTGTTTATTATTTTAATTTGTATTTTTGTTGGAATTTAAGACCAATAAATGATGAGTCAAAATGTCCAAACACACACACACACACACACGCACACACACGCACACGCACGCGCACGCACACAAACAGAACAGCAGCAGAATGAGTCAAAATGTCCAAAAACACACACACACACACACACACACACACCACACACACACAGTACAAACTAACACACACACACACACACACACACACACACACATAGCAGGAGCAGAATGAGTCAAAATGTCAAAGCAAACACAAACATGTTGGTTTTGGTGGTTTATGAGGACTTTCCATAGACATAATGTATTTTATACAGTATAATCGCTTATTACAAGTCCCCTCGCCCTCCCAGACCCCTAAACCAAGCCTCACGGCGTATCAGTGGACAATCTGAATATTAAAAAGATGATGTTTCAGTGTTTTAAATTACGAGAACACGAGACCTGTCCTCATAAGCCACCACAGAATACAACCAGGTCATCATACATAATATCAGAGTCATTATACATTGAATATGCAACAACACCTATTTAATATAACAGTCATTCATGTAGATCAGTGCATTATACACAATACAAACACACACACACACACACACACACACTCTCCGACACCGGCAGAGCATGAGGAGAGAGAAACACAGCGAACACAGGACAGCATGAGAGAGCGGTTATGAACGATGATGATTTATGATTATGAGTGTGTGTGTGTGTGTGTGTGTGTGTGTGTGTTCTTACTGCTGGATTCGCTGGCGTTCTCCACCGTCATCAGGTTTGCGTCCACTTCCCCAGGCTGAGCGGAGAGACACGCCGGGTTAAAGGTCCACGTCTGTCCTCCGAACGCCACTCGCAGATCACCGTCAGCATACACCTTCAACACCTTACCCACCTGCCCTAGAGCCTGACACACACACACACACACACACACACACACACACACACACACACAGTATAAATAGTGCGCTCACACTGAAAAATTCTATATAAACACTAAGTGCACTTAAAATACCCAGATAAAGGGGAGGGGCTAATGGTAAAGGGGAGGAGCTGATGATGAAGAGGATGAGCTGCTGTTGAAGGGGAGGGACTAAGTATCTAGTAGATGGTCTGTTGATGAAGATGATGGGAGGGGCTAATGGTGAAAGGAGGGGCTAAACTTGAAGGGGAGGAGCTGATGATGAAGAGGAGGGGCTGATGATGAAGGAAAGAGGCTGATAATGAAGGGAAAGGGTTAATGATGAAGGGGAGGAGCTGATGATGAAGAGGAGGGGCTGATGATGAAAGGGAGGGGCTGATGATGAAGGGGAGGAGCAATAGTTGGGTTAATTATTTTTGATAGTACAAGCTAAATGATGAACTGAGGTGATGATGCTGCCTCCTGGTGGTGAATGCAGTTGCTGTAATGACTATTTGTTACTTCAGTCATTTATTTCACTAATTTGGCAACTGTTTTGTGTGTTTGTGTGTTCATCTCTGTGTGTGTGTGTGTGTGTGTGT